GGGAAATACAGCGGCGTGGGCAGCAGCCCCAGCCCCGCTGCCACCCCGGCGAGCCCTCCCTGTGCCCCGCTGTGTCCCTCGGGGCTCTGCTCCTTGTCCCCAGCAGCGACAGCCACCGCCGTCCTGGGGAGCAGGGCACGGATCTGGCCGCGTCCCCAGGCAGGTGTGGGGTGAGCAGGGCTTGGGGACACGTCCCCGTCCTCTGCAGAGCCGTGGTGCCCGGCAGTGCCAGCTCGGCTGGAGCAGCTCCGTGTCCCCTCCGCTGGCACAGTGTCCCCTGTGTCCTGGCACCGCTGGGGACCAGGGGTGGCACCACCTCCCCGCACCTGCAGGGATGCTCCCGCTCCATCCGGGCTTTGCCTGGATTTGGGGGGGTTCAGAGCAGCCAGGACACGCTGTGGGCATCGCTGGGGGTGGGTGACAGAGCAGGGACAATGTCACTGCTCCCACCCTGGTCAGGAACACAGCACCCCGGTGTGCAGGAGGAGGGGAGGTGAGGCTGAGGGGCTTTGTGGCTACAAAGGAAGGAGCAAAGTGGGTCCTGCAGCATGGCAGGAGGTTTGGTTGTTGTGTCTGTGCCAAGCGCAGCTCAGCTCGGGAACGGCGACATTCCCGCAGCCTGTCCCCATCCTGTCCCCGCGGGGCACAGCACACGCTGTCCCATGTCCTGACAAAGCCTTGAAGCCCATCCCTGCCGCTCCTGCGCCTGTCCCCGCTGCCTGCGGAAGGATACAAAGATGAAATCGTCCATGAAACGCTTCTTGAGGTTCTCCACGATGGCCTCCTCGGAGATCTTGGACAGCAGCACCATGTCGTCCACGCCGCTCTGCTTGACATTGTGGCTCTGCCAGTGGAAGCGCTCCTTGCTGCCCTGAGGGGACGGGGACACAGCGGCTGTGCCGGGGCCACCTCCTGCCACCAGGGCTGGCTCTGAGCCCCCGAGCGGCCCGCAGCCCTGCCTGGTCCCCGGCTCAGCCGTCAGCCCAAGCCGGGCACCGGGCGGTGCAAAGGGAGGGGTTTGTCCAGGTCGGGAACTCGCAGAGCTCAAAATTCAGTGCATGGGGCTTGTCCCAGCCCCCTGGACCCCTCCTCGCCTCCTGGCACCTGCAGAGGAGCAGACAGGACCTGCCCCAGCCCCTGCTCCTCACCAGGCTAATGAAAGACTTCTGTTGATGCACTGACTGATTACGAGCCACAACAAGGCAGGGGGAGGGTGGTGGTGGCATCCTCTGCACCCCCACATCCTCCTTGCACCCTGTGCCCCTGCTCCCCTTCCTCCTGCCCAGGGGGATGCCAGCAGCCTCTGCCCAGCTGGCCCAGCTCTGTACCCCGGGGGCAGCAGCAGGGCTGGGCTGTGATTTCAGCCCTTGTGGGGTAAACTAGGAGCTGGGAGGGGGGGATTTCACCGTGCAAAAACCACCCAGAGGCCTCCCCTTGCCCTCGATGTCTCCAGGAACAAACTGGGCACAGCTGTGGTGCCCGTGTGGCCCCCGGCACGGTGCCCAGGAGGGGACACCCCGTCGGGACAGGCTGAGGCCCCTCTTTCCCCACCCCCGCGGTTCCTCTTTCACCCCCCAAGCTCCTGTCACCGATTTCACTTCTCCCCCATCAGCCCTGGCCTCTTACTCTTTCCATTTCCCTTTTCTTCTCCTCTTCCCCTTTTGCTTGATTTCTTTGCAGGTTCTCAAGATTTCAGGCTCTGCATCCCGACACATATGCAGGCTCCTGGCAGCCTCTGATTGTCACCAGGTGTCCCCAGCCCCCCACAGCCACCCTGGGGTGTCTGTCACTGGGCTCTGCAACCCCAAACATCCTCTTGCCCTCTCTCCAAACCCCAAATGCCAGCCAAGCCCACATAACTGCTGAAGGGGCTTTTTGGTGTTGTCCCACCATCTTTTTTTGGGGTCAGCTCAGGGGGCTCAGGGTGTCCAGGGCTGCTCGTGTGGCCTGAAATCACCCAGGGAGCTTCTCTTCCTTTTCAAGGCCTGTTTTTTGCCTTCATCCTAATATCCCCTAGGAAATCCAGCTGGAAAAACACTCATGGCAGGCTCAGCCATCCTCTCCAGGTCATTGTGGTGTCACCCAGGGAGCTGCCAGGGACCCCAGGAGCTGCCCAGCTTCATCCCAAACCCTGGGCTTCAGGAGGAGAAGAGTGGCAAGAGCCCATGGGCAGCCAAATCCCTCAGTGCCCTGTCCCCATCACCCCAAAGCTGCTGGCACAGGCACCCTGGACTGCTAGTTGAGGCCAAATTAAGGCAAAAGGAGAATTTCCTGCACTGAGAGCTCAAAGGTTTTAAGCTGACACCCAGAGATTCTCTGTCAGCTGCGCAGAGCTGTCAGTGGTGAGTGTGCCTTCACCCCCCCTCTTCCTCTGAGCCAGCTCAGGGGCTTTCCTGGCTCTGCTGGGGCACCTGGTGCAGCCCAGCTGGGAGGAAAACACCAGCTCAGAGCAGTAAATGAAGGGTTTGTCACGATTTACAGAGCTCTGGGTGTTCCTGCCTGCCTTCCCTGAGCCTGTCATGGGGTTTGCAGGGCCAGGGCTCACTAAAAAATCAGAGTAAAGTCAGGATGAAGGGGAATTAGGATCCCTTAAAGCCCTGGTGTTGCCCCAGCTCAGTGCCCAGCGAGCTCCCATGGCACAGGGCTGCAGGTGACATCCCTGTGGGGAGTGACAGCACAAGTTAATTTGCTTCCAGAGGTTTGGGGCAGCAGTTTCTCCATCCCCTGCTCTGTCCAGTCCCCTCTGCCCAGTCCCTTCCTCTGCCCCAGGGAAGGGGACCTGCACCAAGCCATTCCACCCTCATGCCAAGCAGGGAGAAGCTTTTGTCCCCCCTCCACCTTCCAGGTGCCCTTTGCAGCCCCTGTGCAAGAGGGACTTTGCTCCAAAGGGGACAGGTGACACATGAGGAACCTCTCAGCATCCCCAGCTGTGGGATGGGCACTGTCCCCACCCCTGTGCCCGGGGCCAGGATGCTCCTGGCACTCAGATAGGATCTCTGGGCAGGGAGGGGAGCAGCCCTGTGGCAGCACTTTGAAAACATCATGTTTTCTTCAAAGCTGTGGGCTAAACCACATAAATAAGCCTGCAGGCTTGAGCAAGCAGCAGATGCAGCCCAAGGTGGCACTTTTGAGTCAAATAGGCCAAGCCCAGAATCATCAAAAGCTCCAAAATCACCGGAAGCCTGAGAGGAGCAGAAGGTTTGTCACACCACTGTCAAAGGCAGCCCCAGGCAGGGCTGGGACGAGGATGGGGCTGGCAGGGTCAGGGGCATGGCTGCAGAGAGTTCTTTGGTCCTACAGGAAGCCACAGTTTCAGGTGGTGGAGGAGGGGACAGTGGAGGTGACAGTATCTGAGCAGCCTCTTGGAGGTAATAGCCACAAGTGTGGGTGAGAAAAGGTTCAGTTTCAGCCTGGCCACTGTCCCCTTCCTGTCTGTGTGGAAATAGCTGGGGACACATCACCCGGAGGGACACATCACCCGGAGGGAGGCAGGAAGCAGAGCTGAGAGCTGTGGCAGCTCCTTAGCCCATGTCTGAGCATCTTCCTAATTTTGAGAGCTTCCACCTTCCTCTTCTGCCTCCACATCAACTTCCAGAAGTGGCTGCTGCCTTCTCTGAGCTCCTGCCCCCTGACCAGGGGAACCAGCACCCAGAGGGTCCCTCCTGGCCTGGGGAATGTGGCTGCCACCCCCACCCCACCCTCTGCCCCACCAGCACCACCAGAAACCAGCACCACCAGTGACATAAATTTGTCCCATGGGTACCACAGCAGTGACAGCAAACCCCAAACCTCTGTGTGGCAGCACAGACCCATCCCCTGCTGCTCCCCACCCTGTCCTGGGGGTCACCAGCCCCCTGCACCTCACCTCAGTGCCTCCCCCAGCCCTGTCCCCAAACTGGGGAACACTGTCCCCTCTCCAGCAGGGACATGGGGCAGCTCCCAGAGCTCCAGGCTGGCTGTGGGCAGGGCACGGCTGAGGTACCCTGAGGTGGCAGCAGTAGGAGGTGACACCCTGGGGAGCCCGAGGGGAGCAGGGTGGGGCCCTGCTGGCACTCACCATGATGTCCCTGTGTCCCTCCCCAGGCAGGTGCTCGGGCTCCTGTCACCGACGGCCCGGGGCCATCCCAGAGCACTCGGATTTTGTCTTTCTGCTGTAACAACGATTGTGACGAGTTCTCTTTCCCTCCCACTTCCTCATTTTGCACCCTTCGTGGGGGTGGGGAGGACAACGGCAGCTTTGCTACCAGGGACTTGGGGGTGGCCCTGCCCGGGGTGTCCCCACCTCTGCTGCTGCTGCTGGGTGAGGGAGAGGATGCAGGACAGAGCCCAGCAGGGATGCTCAGAGCCTCAGTGACCTTTCCCCTCACCCTGAGGTGACAGCTGGATGTCACCTGTCCAGTGGTGGTCAGTCAGTGCTTGGAGGTGGTTTTAGGCACGAGATGCTTTTGGTTGCTTTTTTTTTTTTTTTTTTTTTTTTTTTTTTCCCCTCCACTTGAGGTGCAGAGAAAAGTGGGATTACTGCAGGAAGATGAAGCCTGAGAGAGTTCTTGGCCACCCTGTCCCCTGCAGAGTTACAGGATGGATTGGGTTAAAAGGGACCTTAAAACCCATCCAGTGCCACCCCTGCCATGGCAGGGACACCTCCCACTGTTGGCCTGGCTCCAGCAGCTCCACGTCCTCCTGCTGCTGTTCCCCAGGGCTGGGGCAGCTCTGCAGGTGGGGTCTCACCTGAGTGGGGCAGAATCCCCCCTCCCCTGCTGGCCCAGCCCAGCACCACCAACATGTAGGAGTCTCTGTGCCATGAGGGAAATTCTTCCTTCACGCCCTAAAGCAGCTCTGGGTCAATCCCCACCTCTCCCACCTGCTCTGCTCCCCAGGGAAATCCCTCTCCTGCTTCCTTTAGGGTGGATTGTGGTGCTGGGGTGCCCAAACCCAACCCCAGGCTGGAGGAACACAAGTGGGAGCAGAGGCTGTGCCCGGGATCGTAGCTACTCCTTTATTATAATTCATGCCTTACGTCGCTCCTCCTCAGAGTTAGTATGTTAAACATTGGTCAGTAGGATATATATCGATATAAAAACGGTGAAAACACCCCCTCCCCTCACCCAAAACCATCAGAACGGAGCATGGCACTAGGAAGGAAGAGAAACGAGGTTTGCTGAGCACCAGAGAAGCTGCGATCGGCCGAGGAGCAGGTGGACACAAAAACGGAGCTGGGAGAGGAACACACGGGGGCTTTTCTCGGGGGGAAGGGGGCTGTCCCCTCCTGACCACAGGGATGGCCCCAAGGGAACAAAACATGGCTTTGGACAAAGGTTTCCCATCGCTGTGATGTGGAAAGGCCTGAAAATAATCATCATAATTACAATTACAATGCCAACAAAAAGCACATGCTTTGGAGAGTTGAAGTCAGGTCTCCTCCACAGGCTGCCCGTGGAGGAGCTGGCCCAGGTTTGGCCACCAGGTGACCTGGAGGAATTTCAAGCCTGCTCTTTTCCCATCTCTGGAGGCCTCCTGTGGGCAGAGGGGTGGGTGGCACTGGGACTGGCACCTTGAGGCCACGGCCACATGTGGCCAGGCTGCCTTTGGAGACAAAGCACCTTTTGGAGGCAAAGCACCTTTGGAAGTCAAGCACCTTTGGAAGTGAGGCTGAGGCTGTCTCTGGGCAGGGCCCTGCCATGCCAGGCCCTGGGGACACTGTGCCAGGCCCATTCTTGTCCTGCACGCTGCTGTGCTGCTCTCCCTGAGCCTGGCACAGCCTCGATGCCCACGAAGTGACTGCAGCCCCCAGCACGCCTCTGCCCCCAGCTCAGCTCGTGCTTCAAGGGGTAAAAACTGGTCCTAAAAGTGACAAGGGCAAGCAGGGGAACAGCCCAATCCAAGCTGGTGGCTACGGGAGTTTGGAGAACCCCCTTTCCCAGCTGAACTGATGGTGTCACCCTCTGCTCACAGGGTGGCCTGATCCCAGCCCCGAGGTGACAGGGTGCAAACCAAGGGACAAAATCCCTGCTCCAGCCCCACTCCCCACAGCAGCTCCTCTTCACCCATCACCCAGGAGCCACAAGCCACACTGGCCACCCCAGGACCTGAACCCTCCTCCCTGGCTCCCCTGGGGTCCCGAGGGAAGGCCAGCAGCCCCTGGAGTGCCCAAGCCCCGTGACGGTGCCCTGGGGACACGGAGCAGGATGAGGCAGGAGCGGGGCGAGCGGTGCCGCTTCCCCCAGCGGGACCGGGCTCCGTTACCAATAAATAACAACATCAGCATTTCAAGTAAAGTCCCTGCTCTGCCCAGCTCCCCCCTCTCCCAGCGCTCATCCAGCTGGGGCTGCAGTGGTTGAACTGGGAACCTGCCTCTGTCAAGCTCGGGGGCCAAGGGGGTCTGTGGGGGACGGCTTTGGGTGACGCCCGTGGGAGCGTGACCGGAGTCTGTGCGGGAGCCAGGGGAGGTTCCCGGGCAGGGCAGGGCTCGGCAGCCCTCCAGTGAAGCTTTGGCCTTCCAGTTTTGCCACGGGGGTCCCGCTGTGTCCCGCTGTGTCCTAGTGGCCCTGGCAGGTTTTACAGCACATCTGTCGGAAGTAGGTCCGGCTGCAGAACTTGAACTTGAGGACGAGCGGGCAGTAGGCCACCTTGTTCACATCCTTGCACTCTGCAGGGGACACAGAGGGGGGAACAGGGTCACAGCAGGGCTGAGGGGATCCTGGGGGGTTTGTCAGGGAGCTGGAAGATGCAGCTGTAATGAAGAAGCTGCTGAGGACCTCACTAATGGAAACCTGTCTTTGCCAGGGTGCAGTTCCTGCATTGCTCAAGGTGGAGTTCCTTCATTTCTTGGGGTCATGGCACACCAGGCTGGCCTGGGACCAAAGCCATAGAATGGCCACATTTTTCACAGAATTATTTGGGTTGGAAGGGACCTCTAAGCCCATCCAGTGCCACCCTGCCATGGGCAGGGACACCTCCCACTATCCCAGGGTGCTCCAAACCCCATCCAACCTGGCCTTGGACACTTACAGGGATGGGGTCTCCCACCCTAGAGTCCAACTCTAGCTTCCATGTCCCTGTCCCCAGTGGGACACGTGTCCCCTCTGCAGAGACCCCTCCTGTACTCCTGGCACTGCACCCCATGGACCGAATGCTCTGTGCTGTGTGCAGGGGGTGAGCTCTGATGCTGGGCTGCTTTGGAGGGACATGTGGGACCCCCTCTGTGCTGTGTCTGGGCCTCTGCTTGGCTCTGAGGAGCTCTGGGGTCTCTACACAGCCCCACCCCACACTCAGGCAGGTGAGAGTTGTGTCAGGCAGTGCCAGGGCAAAGAACCTGGGTGCCATCTTCAGCTGGGCCACAGGTATGGGCGGAAGGACCTTAAAGATCAAATTTTCCCACCCCGTCATGGTCAGGGACACCTCCCACTATGCCAGGGTGCTCCAAACCCTGATGTCCAACCTGGACACTTCCAGGGATGGCATCTCCCCACCCCAGAGCCCAGCTGGTGCTGTGCTGGCTCCAATATCCCCATCCCCAACGGGACACGTGTCCCCTCTGCAGAGCCCCTCACCTTCAGGGTTGTCTGTGGGCCCTGACTCGCACTTGGTCTCGCACTGCTGCATCCCGGGGGGCTGCAGGGCCTCCACGCACTCCATGGACGGCTGCCCCGTGTGGGCCAGGCACTGGACGGATCTCCTCTGCTGGCCGAGGCCACACTGGGCAGAGCACTGTGGGGACAGCACACAGGGAGCTGCCGAGGCCACCACGGCCCCAGGAATGTGGCAGGGGCGGGCACAGGTGGGGGTTAGGGGGTGCCAAGGGTGCTGCAGGGGGTTAGGGGGTGCCAAGGGTGCTGCAGGGGGTTGTCCCTTCCCTCCCTGGCATGAGCGAGTGCTGTGGCCCTGCATCCCAAAAAAGCTTGGTTTGATTGTCCAGGGCTCGGGGAGGATCCCACATCCAGCCCTAAATCACTGGCCTTTCCCAGCCCTCCTGCACCCCCGTGTCAGCCTGCAGCCCGAGGGGTGGCCAGGGCAGGGAGTGTGGCTGCAGCTCTCTTCACAGAGCGCAGCAGGCACAATTTCCCAAGGATTTGTCCTGGGAAACGCAGTGAGAAACCTCAAAGAAGAGAAAATAATTCTTATCTCTACTTGCTGCTCCTGTTTGTGAATGGTGAGACAATACAGGTGTTATAATTTACACTATTATAATTAGAAGTTAACTATTTCTTAATTATAATATACTATAAGCATTTCTTGGCTTATGAGTTTTTGCTACACTATGTTGTAAATGCTTTAAAGCTATTCTTATCTAAATTTAAAAAATATTATTAATAATATAATAGATGATATTATTATACTAATATTATTATCTAAAATTATCTAAAGCTATTATTATCTATAATTACTTCTCATGGGTCCATCTTTTGCACATGAGGAATATGTTATGGAGATTGTTTACCAAAAGTGATTTGGTTAATTGGGCACCAGTGAAAGTTGTTTTGAGTGATTAGCCAATCCCTCAAAGCTGTGTCAGACAGCCATGGGTTTTTCTTTAGTATAGTTTTAATATAGTATTAGTGTAATATAGTATAGTTTTAATAAAACAATTGTTCAGCCTTCTGAATCATGGAGTCAGAGGCCAATCACTGCTTGTGTCAGGGGCTCCCTGAATTCGATGCAGGGAGGACTGTCAGTGTCACCCCACGGGGCTCTGGGGGGGACCAGCAGTGGCCATGCTTGGCAGTAGGGCCAGCCCACCCCTGCTGACTCCCAGCCACCCATGGGGACCCTTCAAGACTTCTGTGGGGACCTGCTAGGCCTGGGACACCCCCAGGGTCACCATCACAAATGAGCCTAAAAGGAGGCAAAGAACCCTTCCACGGGTCCCTGGATAGTTGTGGTGGCCACCCAGGCTTCTGCTGGCCCATAAAGGTCAGGATTTGAAGGGCTGGAGAGGCTCCTGCTGCGATCCCCCCATGGGGAGGGCTGTCCCTACCTCTCCCCACTCGCCGGTGACCCAGCGGGGCGGGGGGCAGCGCCGCAGGTTGCACCTCATGCTGGTGGGGGGCTTGGTGGCCTCGTGGCACTGGGAGGTGGGCAGGGTCACGCTGTGGTCGCCGCTCTTGCACAGCACGATGCGGTGGCGGAAGCCGGGCCCGCAGCTCGGGGTGCACTGCAGGGACAGGGGACACGGTCATTAGGGGACAGAGGCAGCTCTGGCTGCCCCCCTGCTGCTCCCACCTCTCCTGGCTCCTGAGCTGCCACACTGTCACACTGGGCTCTCCATGGCTGTCACTGGTGATTGGCACTGTGCTCCTGGAGCAGCGCCCTCAGACAGGGGAGGGATGGTGTCAATCACAGAATCAGAAGATCCTGAGCTGGATCCCCCAGGGATGCTCAGCCCAGCCCCTGTCCCTGCCCAGCCACCCCAACAAGCCCACCCTGAGCACCCCTGGCAGCGCTGTCCAAACGCTCCTGCAGCTCTGGCAGCCTTGGGGCCGGGACCATTCCCTGGGCAGCCTGGGCAGTGCCAGCACCCTCGGGGGCAAGAACCTTTCCCTGAGCTCCATGCCAAGCCCTGGCACAGCTCCAGCCCTTCCTGGCCTCCTGTCCCTGTCCCAGAGCAGAGCTCAGCCCCTGCCCCTCTGCCTCCCCTGGGGAGGAGCTGCAGCCCCCGAGGAGCCTCCCCTCAGTCTCCTGTGCTCCAGCTGAACGAGCCAAGTGCCCTCAGCCGCTCCTCAGAGCCTTCCCCAGCTCCGTGTCCCTCCTTTGGCACTCGCCTCTGACCAGTCCAGGGCCACCCACTCGGGAGGACACGTTTGGTTGTTGCAGGGCTCCAGCATCTTAGGCCGTGGCTGGGTGCAGGAGGCATCATCCAGGGTTTTCTCCTCGCTGGCAGAGATCTTCCTCTTGCAGAAGACGCTGCGGGTCCGGACGCCCTCGTTGCAGCTCCGGCTGCACTCGGACCAGTTCCCAATGGCCCAGCTGGAGAGGGGGCAACAGCAGAGCTGGGAGGGGCCCCACACGCTGCACACAGCCTGGCCCCCTCCAGCCACAGCCTCCCAGGCAGCTCTGGCTGAAGCACTGAGTCCCTGCACATCTGCCCTTCCCCTTCAGGAGAGCAGCCAGGGAGGGGCTGGCACAATTCCTCAGGGACTCACTGAATACCTGGGACACAGGGGAGAAACCCCCACCCCATTCCCTAGCAAAGCTGCAGTGTCACCAGTGGGGGCTGTGATATGGGAACGGCAGCCAGGGGGGAATTTTGCTCTCTGCCACCCTGGTTTTCCCCCCTGGCTCCCTGCACAGGCTCCAGGTACGTTGGAATAAGTATTTTTTTACTCAGAGATTGGGTAACTGAGAGGCATTTTAAAAATGTAAATTTAAAAATTTAATTTTAAAATTTAAACTTAAAAATTTAATTTTAAATTAAATTAATTTAATTGTAATTTTTTTTTCTATTTTTAGTCTCAAGTGAAGGGTGAGATGTTATAATTTACACTGTTATAATTAGAAGTTAACTATTTCTCAATTATAATATACTATAAGCATTTCTTGGCTTATGAGTTTTTGCTACACTATGTTGTAAATGCTTTAAAGCTATTCTTATCTAAATTAAAAAAATGTTATTAATAATCTAATCTAAAATAATCTAATCTAATAGAATATATTATTATACTAATATTATTATCTGAAATGATCTATAGCTATTATTATCTAAAATTACTCTTTGTGCATCTATCTTTCATAGTTCTATTTCTCCAAAGAAATGTTGATCTCCTAAATCAACATTTTTTATCTCAAATTTTACATACAAATCCATACTATATAAACTTTCTGTTAAACTTTAAAGTTTAACAGAAAAAATTAAATAATAATAATAACAATAATAAACCAGATTAATTTCCCACACTGGTACTCACGCCGGGGGACAGGGCTCGGTGTTGCAGCTCCTCTGTCGCTCGGGGACTTTGGTGTCAGCGCTGCAGAAATGGTTGGGGACAGTTGAGCCATCAGAGAGCTTCCTGCACACCACAGACTGGATCTGGCTGCCTGCCCAGGGAAAAGAGGGAAGGGGAAAGGGAAGCTGAGACTGTGATGTCTCAGGGTTTAGCTTTTCTATTTTTCAGATTCTGTGCTGCTTTAGTGTGTGGGTCTGGGTTCATATCAGGGCATGGTGATCTCTGCACAGAGCAGGGAGACAAAACAATTCCTGCTCTAGCTGGGCACCAAGGACAGATGATCCAAATCTCAGGCCCAAGAGCACAAACAACGTGGGCTGAAGAGAGAAAAACAAGCAGGATGGGACTGCATGGGCTGGAGCTGGAATTGGACAATGAACTGCAACGTGCAAATGGGCCAGAAATACAAAAGTGAGAGACCCCATGACTGATCGTGCATTTTGTGACCATTTTGGTTCATCTTGGGTGCAGCCCTGGCTGGGCTCTTGTGCTGCCCAAGGTGGATCCATTGAGGCCTGCTAATACATCCCTGCTTTATTCTTTAGCTCTGTCCAGTCTCTGTTCTAGGTCAGCCTGCACAGGGCATCGCTGAGGCTGGAGCAGAGCCAGGCTGTGGGTGCCAGCCCCACAGCTCTGCTCCCATGGGACGAAGTGACAAAATAACCTGTTGGCCCTGCACATGAGCCTGACCTTATCCCTCCAAGGGATTTCAAGGGAATTCACAACCAAGGGCTTCTCTGACATCTCCAAATGGATGGTGTGGAACCATGGTGTCAATGCCTGGATGTGGCACTCTGGGTGACAAGGTGGGGAGCAGGCACAGCTTGGACTCAGTGGCCCTGGAAGGTTTATCCAGCCTCGATGATTCTGGAATTCTGGAGCTCAGCAGCCAGGGCAGGACACACCAGAGGAAGGAGGATCACAGCATTCCAGGGATCTCCTGCTCAAATGTACCTGTTCTAACCTTGGCCTTTCTGGGCAGCACTTGGGGAATAACAGGAACAAGGAGGGACAACACCTGATTGAGGTCTGGCATGGAAGACAAGCCCTGAGCTTTAAACAGGGAACATTATTGGGCCATTCTCTTCTGAATACCAGCTCAGCCCCTCCCAGCCAGGCTCTCCAAAGTCCTGAGACATGATCCAAACCATGTCCCAAACCACGGGAACCAGTCCAAGGATTCAGGGAAGCACCAGGGGTGTTTCAGTTCACAGACTGCAGAACTGAGGCCACAGGGGCTGCTGTGATCAGCCAGCCTGTCCTTGCTCCATCCTTGGAAGTGCCCAGGGCCAGGCTGGACAGGGCTGGGAGCACCCTGGGATAGGGGAACGTGTCCCTGCCATGGCAGGGTGTGGCACCGAGTGAGATTTAAGGTCTCTCCCAACCTGAAGCCATTTATGATTGCATGCATTGCACTAGTAAAGGGGTTTAAAAAGGGGTGGAGAGGGACAGGACACAGGGAATGGCTGCCACTGCCAGAGGGCAGGGCTGGATGGGATCTTGGGCAGGAATTGTTCCCTGGCAGGGTGGGCAGGCCCTGGCACAGGGTGCCCAGAGCAGCTGTGGCTGCCCCTGGATCCCTGGCAGTGCCCAAGGCCAGGCTGCACATTGGGGTTTGCAGCACCCTGGGATAGTGGGAGGTGTTCCTGCCATTGCAGAGGATGGAAAAATTTGATCTTTAAGGTCCTTCCACCCATACCTGTGGCCCAGCTGAAGATGGCACCCAGGTTCTTTGCCCTGGCACTGCCTGACACAACTCTCACCTGGCTGAGTGTGGGGTGGGGCCGTGTAGAGACCCCAGAGGCCCAGACACAGCACAGGGAGGGGTCCCACATGTCCCCCCAAAGCAGCCCAGCATCAGAGCTCACCCCCTGCACACAGCACGGAGCACTTGGTCCATGGGGTGTAGTGCCAGGAGTACAGGCTGGAGCCATCCCTGCCCACGGGAGCGTTGAACTTGTAGCGGATCCCCTGCGGCTCCGTCCGCACCAGCACCTGCGGGAAAGGCACCCCCAGGACATCAGTGCCACCACAGTGACCACCCAGGTGGCATCCCACAGCCTCTCTAACAGCCAGGGCAGCCGGAATCTTCCCCTGTCCCCTTCCAGCCCCTCCCAGTACTGGCAGGGCAGCCACCCGTGGTGACAGTGGTGCTCGATCAGAGAATGAGCTCCCAGGCACTCAGGGGTGGAATCATCCCAAAACCTGACAGATCAGGGCAGGAGACCTGAGAATTAGTGAGGGAGTTCTGAGAGTGTCCCATGGATAAAGCACTGGCCCCCCCAAGGCAGGGACTGGGGGCTCCTGTCCCACCTGGGGTGACTCTTTCAAGGCTGGATGTGGCACTCAGTGCCGTGGTCTGGCTGACAAGGCAGTGCCAGGCCACAGCTTGGACTCGATGGTCTCTAAGGGTTTTTCCAAGCTAATTAATTCTGTGATTTATTGTGTGAATTCAGCCCAATTTACCTCTGCTCTCTGTGTCCCTTTACTCCCAACAGCCACACCAGGGGCTGATCAGCTCCAGTCCCCAGGCAGCCACAGCAAGACCCTTCCAGCCCAGTGGATAAAGCACTGGCCCCCCAAGGCAGGGGTTGGGGGCTCCTGTCCCACCTGGGGTGACTCTTTCAAGGCTGGATGTGGCACTCAGTGCCGTGGTCTGGCTGACAAGGCAGTGCCAGGCCACAGCTTGGACTCCATGGTCTCTAAGGGTTTTTCCAAGCTAATTAATTCTGTGATTTATTGTGTGAATTTAGCCCAATTTACCTTTGCTCTCTGTGTCCCTTTACTCCCAACAGCCACACCAGGGGCTGATCAGCTCCAGTCCCCAGGCAGCCACAGCAAGACCCTTCCAGCCCAACGAGGACCACACTGGGAGGGGTAGGAAGTTACCAACCATGACAAAGAGGGTGATGTTGGTGGGTCCCAAAGCCTCCAGTGACTCGGGCTCCTCAGGGGACCTCCTGTAGTGGAAGGTGGTGCCGGCGATGTCGAAGCGCCGGGGGGGATCGATGGAGAGCTTCCCGTTGATGAAATATTCCCCACTGTCCCCTCGCAGCGCTGCCAGCACAGGGGAGGGAGCTCAGCACAAAGCTCCAGGCACCTGGGCCAGCTTCAGCCAGGTGCTGCTCACCTGCCGGGCTCAGAGCATTGCTAAATGGCACCAGGGAGGCCACAGGTGGCTCAGGGGCACAGAGTCACCAGCAGGGTGGCACCGATGGACCCACGGTGCTTTCTCAGCACCTCCCTGGGCTGGGGGCCAGCTGTGGCCACGAAGCCAGGCTCAAACCCAGCCGTGCACAGCGGGTCGGGGCTGCTGGAGCTGCTGGAGCTCCTGGGGCTGCTGGGGCCCGGAGCCGGGCTGTGCTTGCCGGGGAGAGTCGCTAGAGGGGGATCGGAGCGCTCGCTGCCGCTCCTGGCCCTGCGCTCCGGGAGCGGCTCCGGGCACCGCCGGCCCCGCCGCGCCCGGGACACGGAGGATCCTGCGCGCTGGGGAGGCTGCGGGATGCCCGGGGGATGCCAAAGTGGCAGAGCCTGCGGGCAGCGGTGTCCCGAGAGCGCAGAAATGCAGAAAGGAGTCCCCGCACACCGGGCAGGGAGGGGTGGTGGCACCTCCGATCCCAGGGGAGGGATGCTGCCAGGAGAGTCCTGCTGGCACCTGGCAGCGTCCAGGGAGAGCACCCTGCCCTGCCCTGCATCGCTCGGGGCACAGGGAGGGAAAACGGAGAAAGAAAATCCTCGTTGTTAAAGCAGGACTGAGCAGCAAGGCTGGAAAACCAAGCCTGAGGAAAATGTGGGTGTTTTTCATCCCCAGGATGGCAGGGGAGATGCCAGGAGCTGAGGGATGTGGGGTTTGCTCAGGGCTGTGATGCTAACACAGGACAGGGACACACAGCCCACACTGCCCTGCTGCCTTCCCCTGCCCCAAATCCCAGCCTGGGACCCCCAAATCCCCATTCCCAGCTGCAGTGGGAAGCTCTCCCTGCAGGGCCTTGCCCAGACCCTGTTAATCCCAGGGAAAGGGCAGGGCCTGGCTGGGGTTCCAGCAGCCCCAGCTCACCCAGGTAGTTGATGGAGAGGTTCAGCTCCCGGATGTCGATGTGGACAGAACCCTTGGGGATCTGGATCACCTCCTCATAACCTGTGGGACAAGCAGGTGAGCAGCATTTTCAGCCTCCAGTCCCAGAGCCAGAGCTGCCCTGGGCTGGATGGGAGCGTGAGCCAACGCCTTATCCATGGGGAAATGATGGAAAAAGCATTTTGGGCACCAAAAATGGAGTGGGTTTGCACTGTGGGCTCTTGTGGTGGGACTGGGAACGTGCTGTGGAGCAGGGAAGGGGCTTGGAGCTCTGTGCCAGAGACCTGGGCACCACTGGAGGATGGGGCATGGCTTGGCTGGTGGACAGGAGGGATTTGCTGCCTCCTAGGCTGGTGCTATCCCTTGGGATTTAGCTCTGGGATTTGTCCCTGCCTGTTCCCAGGGGCAGGTGAGGACGAGGAGGGATTTGAGGATGAGCAGGCTGTTTGTTCCCTACCTCCCTCGGGCAGGGACTGGTTGAAGACGCCCTCGATGGTCTCGCAGGAGCTGCCATCTCCCCCACACACCCGGCACTTGTCCTCCTTGGAGTCGGAGCCCAGCACCCGGTCACAGCCCACGTGCTGCGGGAGGAGCAGCAGCAATGAGCCAGCCTGGAGGGACCCTGCTGTCCCCTGCTGTCCCCTCAGTGCCCCGGACACCTCAGCAGGGCCAGCCCTTTCCTGGGAGGGTCTCTCCAAGGCTGGGAGGGTGCAGGGATGAAGCTTGAGAGGAGCCCAAGGGAAGCCCCTGTCCCTGCAGCTGATGTGTCCTTGTGGCCTCTGTCCCTCTGCCACCGCCTGGGGGTGGCACAAGGGTCACCAGCACAGCTGTGGCTCCCTCGGGTGCAATCCCCCTTTGTTCCACAGCCCCATGGAGACAAACAGATCCCAGAGATACAGGAAGGGAGGCAGACAGACACACAGTCTGTCTGTCTGTCTGCCTGCCTGCTGGGGGATGTTGGCCACTCCCAAGCGCTTCCTTAGAATTCACTTCTACAGCTCCCCCAGATCCCATTGCAAGGGAAACATCAAAGGGGCTGGGGCTGCACAGGCTGGGAGTGCTGGGATCCATCCCTGAGGCAGGGAATGCAGAGTGGAGGGGAATGTTCCTGCTCCCACTGGGTGTCCAGGCAGAGAAATCATGGAATTACAGGATGGTTTGAGCTGGAAGGGACCTCAAAGATCATCCCAACCCTCCACCCATCCCATGTCTGTGTGAGCAGTTTGAGGGCAGCACTCACCTGCCCAGGGGTCTGTCCCTGTCCCCTTTTTTTGGGGATCTGTTATTGTCCCCTCTACCCAGGGGGTCTGTCCTTGTCCCCCTGACCTGGTTATGTCCCTGTCCCCCCTGCCCTGGGGGTCTGTCCTTGTCCCCCCATTCCAGGGGTCTGTCCTTGTCCCCCCTGCCCTAGGAGCCAGTCCCTGTCCCCTCTGCTTGGGGGTTTGTCCTTGTATCCCCCCTGGTTTGGATCTGTCCCTGTCCCCCCATCCCAGTGTCTGTCTTTGTCCCCTTTACCCAGGGGGGTCTGTCCTGTCCCCCCCTCCCAGGCTCTGTCCCTGTCTCCTCATTCCCGGGGGTCTGTCCCTGTCCCCTCTGCCCTGGGGGCTCTGTCCCTGTCCCCCATCCTGGGCTCTGTCCCTGTCCCCAATCCCGGGGTCTGTCATTGTCCCCCATCCCAGGGTGTACCCCTGTCCCCCATCCCAGGCTCTGTCCCTGTCCCCCCATCCCGGGGTGTGTCCCTGTCCCCCATCCCGGGGCCTGTCATTGTCCCCCATCCCAGGGGCCTGTCCCTGTCCCCCATCCCGGGGCTCTGTCCCTGTACCCCCATCCTGGCTCTGTCCCTGTCCCCCATCCCGGGGCTCTGTCCCTGTCCCCCATGCTGGGGTGTGTCCCTGTCCCACCTTGCACTCCCCGTTGACACAGATGTCGTTGGAGTCCTGCCTGCAGGGGGTCCCATCCACCACGGCCGCTGCTCTCTCCGTGTAGAAGTTGAAGCCCTCGGCCAGGCAGTTGAGGGAACAGGCCTTGACACCCCCTGGGGAAGGAGCACAGCTTCAAACGTGTTCAAAAGTGTTCCAGACAGGTAGAAAAACCATAAAGGCTTCATAAAATCTTCATGAAATCAAGCCTGCTCTCCTGGAATCAGTGGCAAAGCTAGCACTCTGCAAGTAGTATATATTTTAAAAAAATAAAATATATAATAGATATACTATATAATATACATTATACAGTATGTTTATTCTATAAATATATAAGTATTATATATCTATAGAATATATAAATATTTATTTATTTTTATATACATTTTATATATTATATATATTTAGATATATTTTTATATTTATATATAATATTATATAAAGGGAGGGTGGAAAAATCTGCATTGTGCCCTCTTTGGGATCAGTTATTGGGTTAAAAGGGGAAATAATCTAGGTGTCAGTTCTTAATTGGATAGTTTAGCTTTAAAAAACCTCGTAACAAAAGATTCTTTGCCATTTTTATGGTGCTTTTCCAGTGCACTGAACCTGGTATGGACAGAGTGCAAAACTCTAGATAAGATAACAATAAACAAGAACCTTAAGACTGAAAAAATCCAGCGTGTTTCTCTTTCCTGACACAAAACCCCTCCAGGAGAGTCTCCCTGGGAGGGCCCAGCCTGAGTCCCAGAAGTCTGGAATTGGCAACAGGTACCCTGGCAGGGAAGCACCTTGGATGGGAGGAATGGGAATGTGCAGAAAGGGAAACTCAGATACAGAACATCAAAGGGATAAAGGGAAACTCGATACAGAACATCAAAGGGGTCAAAGGAGGGGAGGGGAGGGGGCCCAGCTGTGCAAGAGCAGCTGGGGGAAGAGAGAGCAGAGCTGGGAGAGGGAGGAGCAGGAGGAGGCAGCAGAGGGGAATTCAGCAGCTTGGAGGCATTTCGAGGAGCAGGATGCCTGGGCAAGCCCCCGGAGCTGCAGCTGCTGAGCAGGGGGAGCTCACTGAGAGCAGGGGCTGCAGGCAGGGAGCTGGGGCTGGGCTCCATGTGGGATGATGCCTTGCCCCAAGGTGTGAGTGAAAATGGTCCTTCAGTCTGGCCTGTCTCAGGGCTTCTGGTTAAAAGTGGAGGATTTTCTTTCAATTTTGCCTGTGTGCCATTTGGAAAGTGCCGAAAAATTAGAAGATTAGGATCTGCAAATGAGCTGTTCAAATAATTAAAGACATATAAAGCTTTGTTCAACCTCATTTTAGGATTTTAGCTTTTATATTTTTAATCTATTTGTAATCCTGCAGTCCTTTAGTGTATAACTCCAAACTCCATACTCAGTGTGAGCTGCTGCTTCCCCATTTTGGGCAGACACAGCAATTCCCCTCCAGGCCTGGCAATCAAGGACACCTCACTGCCTCAGGCCCCAGAAACAGAAACAAAAGTGAGTTGGGGGGAGCAAATTTGGGGTAAATTACTTCATTACCTGAAGATGTAACTGGGAGATGAACCCCCAATATGCAAATGGACAAAACTTATAAAAGTGGGAAAACCCATGAGCCGTGGTCCATTTTTGGGTGTAGACCCTGGGGGGTTTCATCTGCCTCAAATGTACTTGAAGGCCCTTCCATAAATAGAACTGCTTTTTATTTTATAAATATATAAATATATAAATACATATATAAATTTAAATATTATATATATTATATAAACATATAAGATTTATATCTATCTGCTGTTTATTTCTACAAATCCATTTCCCACACAGCCTCTGGTTTTAGGTAGCCCAAAAAGGCCTCAGGGATGAATCCCTGCTGGCTCTCCTCACTGGTCAGGCCTTCACGTGGGGATTCCTGCCCTTAAAAATGCCATGGAAGGGGAGCAGGGGGAGGGAGAGTGAAGGAGGCAGACAGGGGTGACCCTGTGTTGGTAGCCCTGTCCTGAGTGCCACTGCTCCACGAGTCACCTGAGCTCCGAGCAGTCCCCACAACCTCCCTGGGGACAATTTCCAGGCAGGATTTGCCCTTGGCAGCCAGGTCACCAGAGGGAAGGAGACTGGAATCACTGCCCAGCATCTGCTGGGAACTGCAGTGTCCTCAGCCCAGAGGTGCCCTGGTGGCCTGGGCAGCTCCTTGTCCTTGTTCAGGTGGCTCCAGTGACAGCTGTGTCCCCGTGACAGCAGCACTGAGCGCAGCAAGAGCCTCTGGAACAGCACAAGGTGCCTTGGAATTCCTGGAGATGGGAGAAGAGCGACTCCCACAGAGTGGTGGGACCTCTGAGCTGGCCCAGGGAATGTTGCTAAACACAATTACGGAATCCTGGAATATCCTGAGTTTGGACAGACCCTCAGGGATGCTCAGCCCAGCCCCTGTCCCTGCACAGCCACCCCAACAAGCCCACCCTGAGCACCCCTGGCAGCGCTGTCCAAACGCTCCTGCAGCTCTGGCAGCCTTGGGGCCGGGACCATTCCCTGGGCAGCCTGGGCAGTGCCAGCACCCTCGGGGGCAAGAACCTTTCCCTGAGCTCCATGCCAAGCCCTGGCACAGCTCCAGCCCTTCCTGGCCTCCTGTCCCTGTCCCAGAAGGGGGAAAGCCCCAGCCAGGCACCATCCTGCACATTCTGCCCCCCTCCCTTCATTTAGGGTCAGCCTGGTTCCTCTTTTGCACCTTTAACAGAGCTATTAAAATAGAATATTTTCAGCTGGCTGCTGCCTCCTATGTTTTGTTCCTCCTGCCTGCCCTCTCCCATGGAGGAATTAAGCCTTATTACAATTTCTGACGAGCAATCTCCATTTTCCCTCAAGCTCCTGCTCCTCCCATCGCTCTCCCGAACTCCCGAATGGGCCAAGAGCGAAATGAAGAATGCAGGGAACAAAGCAAAGTAAACAAACAATTCAAGCCGCATTCCATGAGGAATCTGCGGACTGCGGAGCTCAGCTCTGCTCTCCGGGGGTCTGCATCCCCATCCCGGGGTCTGGGCTGGAAATCAGCTCCAGGAAAACAGCCCTGACCTCAGCGACCCGGGGTCCAGCTCCTTCCCTTCCCAAATGCCCCCAGGATCGGTGGTGATGCCTCAGGTTTGAGCTTTTCTATTTTTCATATTCTGTGCTGCTTTAGTGTGTGGGTCTGGGCTCACACCAGGGCATGGTGAGCTCTCTGCACAGAGCAGGGAGACAAAACAATTCCTGCTCTAGCTGGGCACCAAGGACAAATGATCCAAATCTCAGGGCCAAGAGCACAAACAATGTGGGCTGAAGAGAGAAAAACAAGGATGGGACTGCATGGGCAGGGGCTGGAATTGGACAATGAACTCCAACCTGCAAATGGAGCAGAACTTATAAAAATGTGGGACCCTGTGACCAGTTGTCCATTTTGTGGCCATTTTGGGTCGTGCTGCCCAAGGTGGATTTATTTAAGGCTTTTTAATAAATCCCTGCATTATTCTCTAGCTCTGTCCAGTCTCTGTTTTAGCTCAGCCTTCACGAGGCACGCTCTGTCTAGTCTCTGTTTTAGCTCAGCCTTCACGAGGCACCAGTGCCCCCTTCCTCCAAGGTTCTGGGGCACTCCTTGTCTGCAGGTTGGGGGTGCTCCATGCCCAGGATATTTCCCAAAGAAATGTGGAGAGAGGCACCCCTGAACCCAGCCACCCTTCTGGGATGAGCTGAGCAGGGGAAGGGACTCAGTGTGGCAGTGATGGCTCCCAAAGTGCCCAGAACAAAGCTGAGGAGCAGATTCCCTGCCAGCTGGAGGGAGGGATGCCCAGGGATGAGGCTGCCAGCAAAGAGGGATCCTGGGGGGCTGCTGGGGAGGGAGGGACTGGCACCCTGCATCCCTCTGGGCACTGCTGGAAGGGCTCAGGAGGTGAGGAGCAGCCCTCACTGCCACCCCAAAATCTGGTCAGGGCCTGGGAGCAGAATATCAGTGGCAAGGGCAGGACAGGAGGGGTTCCCTGGGGTTGGATGTGTGACATGGGCAAGGTGGAGGTGAAAGGGATGTCCCCACCTCCCCCAGGATGTGCCTCTGACACCTGAATGACACCAAGGATCATAAAACGCCCCAGGCATGTGACAGTGAAGGTCCTGGTGCTGCTGAAATCATGGAGTCACAGGGGGGTTGGGTGGGAAGAGACCCTAAAGCTCATCCAGTGCCACCCCTGCCATGGCAGGGACACCTCCCACTGTCCCAGGCTGCTCCAAGCCCTGCCCAGCCTGGCCTTGGGCACTGCCAGGGATCCAGGGGCAGCCACAGCTGCTCTGGGCACCCTGTGCCAGGGCCTGCCCACCCTGCCAGGGAACAATTCCTGCCCAATATCCCATCCAGCCCTGCCCTCTGGCAGTGGCAGCCATTCCCTGTGTCCTGTCTCTCCAGGCCTTGCTAAAATCCTCTCTCTTTCCAGCCCCCTTTAGGCACTGGACACAAACCAGCTCTCCCAGTTCTGAGAGGGAGCCCAGACTTGTCCAAAGTTGTTCCTTGACCTTCCCTGCTCCACGGTTCCTCCCTAGGCCACCCCAGAGGACAGCAGTGACACCCTTTGACACCGAAAAAAACAAAGTAAAAGTGCTCCTCATGACCATTGCTCACAGCCAACGTGGGCAGAGGAGATGGAGCTCCCAGACCCCTTCACACCACGGCACTGTCAGCACTGCCAGCCTCCCACGAGGGGAGAGGTTTCATCACCCATTTTGTGGCAGGGGAAGCTGAAGCACAGAGAGAGGAAGGGCCTCTTTATGAAAGGCAAAAATCCGTACCAGGGTCAGAGGACACCTCAAGGGTGATGTTCAGCTGGCCAGCCAAGCTCTGGGCCATGCCAGGGGAGGAGAGAGGTCAGAGCCAGGCCAGCTCCAGCCTGCAGGGTTGTCTTCCACCTTGGCACGCACTGGCGTCTTGGGGTGACTTCACAACCTCCCAATTTTATTACATTTTTATTGATCCATCCCCTGCAGCTTCAGCACAGCTGCTCCAGCTGCAGGAGCCCCGCTGGGAGCTGCGCTTGTTTACACAGCTGGGAATGATTTCCCCAGTCCAGTTCATTAACTCCATGAAGGAGATGAGCTGCTCCTCCTCATTACTGAGAGATTTGTGCCACAGAGCCTCCTCCAGATCCTTCTGCAGGACACAGGGCTGACCTCGGGAAGACGAAGTGCTGCTCTTTGAAAGATCCACCAGATCCCATCCCTTCTCCTGCTCAGGAAGCTTTCCCTGCCTGCTCTGTCTCCTCCCCATCGGGCGCCTGTTTTGGGTTGGAAATGGGGGTGTATCCTGTTCCCATCTGTTAGAGTTATCTCTGTTCATTGGGCAGTTTTCTTTATCTCTCCCACAGCCAACCCTCCCTCCAGGAGATCTCTGCTGTCCATGGCCACTGAGTGTCCCTGCAGGGCTGATCAAATTCCAGCATCCCATGGGGAGATGCTCCGCCCAGGGCAGGAGCCAAGCATTCCTACCTGGATACAATCTGAGCCTGGAACACCCCAGCAGCCTTTGCCACTGCATTCCCAGAGGAGCAGCTTTCTCCTGCCCTGCATTCCCAGAGGAAGAGCAGGCCCATCTCCAGCAGCCCTGGAGCTTCAGAGGAAAACT